TGCAGCATCCAGTGAGAGATGGAAAAGGAATTAATTTAACATGAAGGGATGGGACAGGACACCTGCACTGCTCCTCTGCTCCAGTACATCTGAGAATGTGCTGCCCACCTTTATGGGTGATGCAGCATTTTAAGCAAAGGTTGGACCAATTCTGTTGTTGGACAGAATGTCCCAAACAACTCCTGGCTGTTGTTTCAGGATGACAGACACTACTAGATCCATGGAGTTTATAGCATTTACCATTCTGTAAGTGCTGTATGGCTGCCAGTACTCTAGGGCTGAGGGAAAGGGCCTGTGGCTCCTGGAAATACTAGCAGTGAGGATGTGGGGATACCTGTGTGAGATGTTCAGTGCCTTGGTGGATCAGAAGTGGGTCTGCAAAATGCCACAGAACCTGGCTGGTAAGGAAATGGAGTCACACACTTCCTTGGCCAGGACCCTAGGAGCCACAGCACAGGCCTGGAGACAAAGGAGCAAAAGGATTCACTCCTTTGGCCCCTGCACCTCAGGCAGCCTCTGTGGTTGGGCAGTCAGCAGAGTGCAAATGCCCTTTGCCTTCACCTGTAGCTATGGCTCCCCTGAGTTCTGTGGCTCCTCACACACACACAGGCTAACTGCACAGCCAGGAACAGAGACACCATTGGCCACATTGTCTCTTCCCTCTCTCTCTTGGCTCAAGGGTAGTTTTTTCCAGGTGAACAGGTTCCTGCTTTGTTAGGAGGTTAGCCCAGACAGGCTGGCGCCAGGAGGGAGCAGGGAACAGTCTCTCTGAGCTGTGAATGTGCTGCTTCTCCTGTGTCTGCTTGGCTGTCCCTTGTGTAGTTTTGCCCTTCTTGGTGCAGTCTGAATCAGGCCTGTCTTGCATAATGTAACTGGATATGGCCTGGGTAAAGCTATCACCTGCCTTTGTCCATGTGCTTATCTCCTCACCAAGCTTTAGCTCTCCAGAGGTTCCAGCTCTGTGCCACAGCTCCCAGTCAGCAACACAGTGCTGTGCTGCTGTTTGCTACCTGTGAGCTTGCTGAAAAATTTCCATCAGCATCAGTGACACTCAGGGAGCTGTTTACAGAGAGGTCATCAGCCACTCCCTGACTGGGATTAGGTACCTCCAGGAGGTGCCCAGTAAACTCCAGGGCTCCCAGCATTGCTGGTCACTGGTGCTGGGGCTGCTGCAGCTCTCTGAGTGGAGATCACAGCAGTATCCCATGTCTGTTTGACAAGCCACCACCAGACCTCTGTACCAACCTTCCAAGTTGCCACAGTACGTGTGTCTGCACAGCCACATCTATAATATTAACACCTTCCTGAGAGCAGGGAGAAGACTGAGGAATGCACAGGTTACTGCTGTGATGAGTGTCACTGTAGCAGAGGCATTTTTCACATACTTGTAACAGCAATGTGTGATGACAGTGCATTTACTTTACAAGGTTTTGTGGCAAGGGCTTGCTAGCAGATAATACCCACAGGATGGCAAATGTACCTTGAGCTGTTCCATGAACTCAGGCTAATCAGAATAATCATGAAACCTATGCTGGTTTTTCTCCCTATACCATGATGGGATTGCTGAGGTGCTGCTTGTATAAGTCACAGTGGCAGAGCACAAGGTGTCCAGGAGAAGCCATTGCCTTCCACTGGACTCTCCTGGGGACTTATTGCCACTCACAGATGAGACCATTTGTAGTTGCCTGAGCTCCCTAGAAAAGCTCGGTTTTACACTGAGAAGAACTTGCTGTCTAGACATTTTCAACTTGATTCTCTGCCCTTCCCATCTCTTCAGGTAATGACCAGAGATCCCGACCATTTCCTAAGTTGCTGGGGAGTGATTTTCCTCACCCTAAGATCTTGCTGCTGGCGACCTTGCTCTGGCTGTCTTTTACCAGTTCTCTGTGAAAGTCCATTTCCCAGTGGAGCAATCATTTCCTTCAGTTCCTTCTCCCACGTGTGGGTCATTGTGAAAGTATCTGAGTGCATGATCTCAGTTTATCCCAGGTTACCAGTGTGTCAG